AAATAAGTGTTTACATCCATTAATTGCATACAAGGCATAACAGAATTTCATAAACTAACATGTTTGTCTTATACCACTGTTACATGATTATCTCATAACTTATAGCACAGTGAACAAGTATATACATCCTTTAATCCGTAATAAGCATAATCTAAATATATGTTTGAACATGCTTACTTTATACCGCTACACAATTATCTAAGAATTGATATTACATTTAACATATGTATAACTCCATTTATCCTTTATAAGCATATAATAATTCTGTAATCTGACATGTCTATACTTTACCACTGGAACATGGCACCTCAATTAATTTAATGGAAAGCACAATAGACCTAGACAACCTATCATGCTTATACATCCAGTCTAGCAATTGATGAATAAGTACTAAGATTTAGTCATCAATTTATATTAACAAGCGTAATTAAAATAAGATAGACTTTAATATGCTCATTTTACACGATTGTTATATGATTAAAATTGGATAATCATTCTCGAAAAATTATTGAAAACAACACAAGCTATTTTAATCATTCGCATCCACTGATAGTTTACATAATTGTTAAGAAACATTCACCGCTCAACCTGTAATCCCTAAGTGGTTTATCCTCCATTGCCACATCCTCTGAAGTCTCAATCTAACCTTAGATTACTTTTAAATTCCCATGTGCAGTCCCCGTTCACTTCAGACAGGTCAAAAAACCACCCTAGAGGCGGAAAAATATCAAAAATCAAGAGAGAGGGGGAAAAGAGACGTCTCCCCACAAAGGGGAGCCGCCTCCCTTTGAGTGGAGCCAGCTCTACCCCATGTGGAGCTGCCTCCACCTCTCTTAGAGCCGGCTCCACCCTTGTGGGGAGCCGTCTCCTTCTCTGGTTTGCTCAGTTCTCTCCTCCTCCTTCATTGGTTTGATCTACGGCGACTACCAGTTGAACTGTCCTCCCTCTTTAATGTTTCTACCGATTAAAATAAAGTTCCAGAGACTATAAAAATCTTTAATCACTAATCAACATCAATATGAACAAGAAATACACATAGAACCATTAAACAAACAAATACAGAGACATGTAACCACAGACAATCAACAACGAACCTAAACAAGCAAACAGATTAACTTAGCAGTTTATTTACTCCTGGAATTGTAATAGAGATGCAAAGAACACAAGTCCAAGGGAGAGAGTAAGGATAGAACTTGCCTTTAGCCTTACACAGTCGTCTTCTTAAGTTCTCCAGCGAACCACCTACTGAAATCCTCCTCTGTTCCCTCTCTGCCTCCACAACCGTGAGTAGGGTTCTAAAACCCTAGGCAGAGTCTTATTACATATATTTATAGGTTTATACAAAACCTAAACTTAATTTAAGCCCTAAACTGAATCTAGGTCGGCCCACAGAAAATCCTAATTAAAGTCTATATCGGCTTATAACTTAAACCTGAACAGAACCCTAACTATATTTTCATAATTAATAATTAATCCATGTAATAATTAATTTAATTTAAAGGAAACAATAAATTCTATGAAAGAAAACAATTAACACTATGAAAGAAAAATAATTAATTCTATTAAAGGACATATCATAATATAAGTCGTCATTTAATGCAAATAAACACGCCAATAAACAATTAAATAATTAAAATTCAATTAAAACAATAAATTAAATACTAGGACTATCCTTTAGAAATTAGGGGTATTACATTAATCCTCCTTCAACAAGAATATACACATATCATCTTTAGCCAATGATTGCTCAGGGAATGTTCTGACATTCTTCATGTGAATGGACCAATATAACCTTGCCACCTTAGTTGTTTTGTCCTTAAGCATACCAGAAATTACACTTTACTAAGATAAGGCTGTAATTGTATTCTTATCCAGACTTAGCCTCCAAGCAATGCAATTATATAACATACAATATCACTATAGGGCCACTGCAATGTGTCACACACCTGAGCTCCGTGTGGAAAGACCAAAATGCCCTTTATAACAGCCATTTGTCACTTTCAACATAATATAAGTCTTAAGAGTGGAATATAAAGAGAGAGAGAAATGTGGAGAGAGAGAGAGAATGGTGGTCGGATGAGAAGAAGAAATAAGGCCCCAAGTGTGGCCTCTAATCCTTTTAACAATGAGTGGTTAATAATGGGTCAATTCCTTAACCCCCAAAGTTACTATAATGCCCTCCTCACAAACTTTAACCACTAATTTGCCTTAAAATATCCCTCCTCACTCAAAGCTAACTACATATATATATATATACACACACACACACCTCATATAAAAATAAAGTGAGCATAAGGAATAAAATAAAAGAGAACACCGAAACCCACATGGCGAGTAAATCGAGATGCGTCAAAATGATTAAAAAAAAAATAAAAGAAAAAAATCCAAAAAAAAAAAAAAAAAAAAAAAAAAAACATTACATTACCCCTCATAGATCTTCTTAGGGTTGTTTCCGGACCTTTCTGGAGCTTTATATTGTTGGTCCCTTCACCTTTTGACTTTTAATGCCAAAAGGAGGAGAAATGAACCTAATTCAAGGATTTGTACATCCTTTGGTATGATATATGTACTGCTTTGATGGTATATTGCTTTCATTTTAAATGTTTATGAGATATTTAAGCAATAATTGATTTTTGACATTTAAAGGCAAAAAGGGGAGATTGTTGGTCCTATCTTTGAATTAGAGTTTGCTTTTTTAAATGTCAAAAAGCTGTCACAAGTCCATTTCAGTTAGTTTCAAGTGATTCTTGAGTGCTCAGTGCATTGCAGAGATTTATAGGGGCAATATGGTCATTCAACATTCCTATAAAGTATTTTCAAATAGACTAAGAAAGGTACATTGTGTTGACTGTACTCATTACAGGCCAGTTAGGGTTTGAGTCTCTTGTTTAGAAGAAGATAATTGGCTTAAGAGTTATTTAGGGGCAATTGAGTTTTTTCACACTTGTATCCTATCATAATACACTTATTTGAGATAGTACATTATATTGAATTGCTCTTATTTACATTTTGATCGAGTGTCTACAGTTGCAGCTTTAGAAAGTTGTGTATATTAACAAGTGTCCCTTATAGGGGTATTTTGGTCAATGCAATTGTTGACCTTCCTTATGACATGTGTCCTGTGGTCCTTGTGTAAGAAAATGAAGCTTGTTATGCATTGCTTAGTGGTTAAACTAGCTTGATATATATTACTGGTATATACATATATATAAGTTGTCATTTTGCATGCTCGCTGAGGATAAAATAATGAGTTGTAGAAGGGGCAATGTGGTCCTTTCACTGAAAGAATGTCATAACATTCTCTGGCTAATGATTGGTAGGTGATGTCATGTGGATTTGCTCTTTAGGGTAGGACTACAATCCATTGTACCCTATATATGATGTTATAGAAGGTGAGCCTCCTAAGCTTAATTAAGAACTTTGTGAGCATCCTTTGAGCTATATTGACAAACACTCGAGACACCAATGACAATGACATATATTTGAGTTTTAACAATCTTTTGAGAGCTTAATTCAACTCAAAATTATACATGGTGTGTGTGAATCATTGAAGATGAAGATGAAGGTGGCTGTGAGAGGCCTTTTTGCTGCTAAAGAGAGGTCCAAAGGTTCAATCCAATATTGAGGCCATTTCAGAGGGTTCTAGAGGTTGAGGCAAGTTTGTTTTACCATTTTATAACTGCAGGACTTGTGATTATATTCATATTTCTCCTATAGTTGAGTTTGATGTTTCGAACCTCATCACAAGCCTTGTTTTCTAGTTTAGCTATTTGTTATTAGTATATATGCATGATATCTTGCTGTGAGTTGAACTCTTATAATTTGAGTAAGTTTTTATAGTTGAATCAAAGCTGTGGAAGTTGAGATTTAGGGTTTTCTGCATAATTAACCCTATTGAACTAAGACTTTGATATACCTTGCTTGAATCATTGAGAATATCATCTGAGCAGGTGTATAATATTGATATAAGGTTGAGGGTTCCATTTTCAGGTTTGTGATAGTACAAAATTCCAGTTTTACCCTTGCAAGAACAGATTATGCATAATGTTGTGTTATTGTTGTTGATACTTTAAGTTGTACATTCACTCATAAGTTGTGTAATAACTTAAGTATTATTGTTATTCATATATTTCTATGTATTTGGTGAGCTGTGAGAGCTCACAGGGTCCAAGCAAGGTTGCTTAGGATAAATGGAGTGTCTGTGTGCATTGTTGTGAGCTAGGGTGTGTGCAAAGTGAGAGACAATCGAGTGTGTATCTACTTGCATTACAACTAATGGAGCTTACATTAGTTGTGGCCAAGAACGAAGATTTTTGATCTCTAGTTGAGTGAGATTTTCTTGTAAAAATCACTATATACTTGTGTATGTTTGTGTGAGCCTTAAATAATATTGAAATTGAACTAAGTATGAAAGAAATTTTTGTAGTAGAACCAATTCATCCCCCTCTTGGTTCATCAATTATTATTATTATTATTATTATTATTATTTTCTTCTGTTGATAGTTTACTTGAGTCATTAAATAGTTTGTTTCGATCAAAGAATAGTACGTGGGGATAATATAATAAATTCGTAGATATTATGTCATGAATATTTATACTTGATTGAGAGTATAGGTGAATTACATCAGTTTTTTCCACTTAATTATTTATTCATTTATTTTCTTTTTCTTTCTTTGCTATAGGAATCTTAGGATTGGGGGCATGACATTGGCTCCCATAATTTAGGCCCCACATCATAGATCATGTTAATATCTTTATTAATAAAGAGTCCATCCATGAACCATTTATAATAACACAATTTTCGCAATTTACATATCGCATATGACACGCCATCGTATATATGTAAATTACTTGTGTAGTCAAGTGAACACCTCGATTTAAAAACCAAATCGACCAATACACATCATTGACAAAATGAATATAAAACATCTCATTAGACCACATTTATGAGACACAAAATATTGTCTCATACCATCCATTAAATTTGTTAAGCTAGGGCATACAAAACCAACAAATTGTAACCTCTTCATAAATCCACTCCCACCACACTGCGATCTTTCTTTATTTGATTCAAAATACTATCATTACATAATTTACATGAAGAAAGGCCACTTTAACCAAAAAATGAAGAAAGGGGCCAACAATACCTTTAAATGACATACAAGACCTTACAACGAACGCACATTAAACTAACTACCCCTTACTCAACCTAACTTTGGTTGTTACTTTAGTGCCCATCGGAATCTAAATGCTAACGTTAGAGTCACCGTAAATCTCCTTCGAATTCTTTAGTTTCTTCGCAGTTGATCTCCACTTGAAAAAATCTCCAAACAATGTCTCCATTTCTTCAAGGGTTCTACCCTGTGTTTCCGGGAGGAACGTAAAAAAGAAGAACCAAGACACTGACGCGATCCCTGCGAAGAGAAAGAACGCCCCACCAATGGTGATGGCTTTATATAGAGATATAAAAGTCATCGCGATGACCCCACTCGTCACCCTATTAACTCCCACTCCCACACTAAAACCTTGAGCTCGTAGCTTCAACGGAAATATCTCCGAGGTGTACACACCGGTGATGGGACCCATCCCGATAGAGAAGAAAGCCACGAATGATGACACGGTGATCATGCATAGAGCGACGGCCCAGGTTATCTTACCGTCTGAGTGATCGATGATGGTTAAACCCACACCTAGTAACATCAAAGAAACGATCATACCAGCCACGCTAGTGAGAAGCAAAGGTCGCCGTCCGGTCCGGTCCAGGAAAAAAGTGGCCACCAAGATGAACATTGTTTTGACGAACCCAACTGCCATCGTCGCAAGTAGCTTATCTGTGTCGTTTGTGATGCCGGCCTTTTCAAAGATTCTGGGGCTGTACAAAACGACGGCGTCTATACCGGATGATTGCTGAAAGAAGTGTACGCCGATGGCTGCGACCAATATATGACGAACGGCCGGTGTAGGATGGAGGAGTAAATCTTTCCATACGGCCTCGCCGTGACTGAGTTTTGGGGGAGTAACGACGTCGTCTTTCCAGTGCTGGGGAATACCGGCGGCTTCTTTTATGTCGTTGAGTCTGAGCTGAGCCTCTTCTTTCGAGTCTGATGTTTTGTCGAGGACTCGCTTCGCGTCTCCGAGTCGACCCTGCATGACGAGCCAACGTGGTGACTCGGGCATGGCTAGCACACCAATTGCCAGGAAAACTGATGGAATAGCTCCGATTCCAAGCATGAGTCGCCAACCCAAGTGAGTTGGGAGCTTGGAAAATGCATAATTAGATACATATCCAAGTAAGATACCTATCCATACAAAAACAAACAAATTACGTATAAAATCATGAAATTTTTTAAAAGTAAAATAATTCGTTTTGTTTTGAATACAGATATTAGTTATTCTATTTGAAAAGTCAAAGAAAAATAAATTATTTCCTTAAAGTTTGATGTAGACATGAAAAAGCACCTTTTTTCTGCAGAATGTGGGTTTGTGCTCTTTAGCACCCTTGCAGTGCTTTTTTTTTTTTTTTTTTTCTTTTTTTTGATTTAATATAAATTTTAATCTTATAATGATTGGATCCAATACATCCATTACTAAATACGTTAACAACTGAAACTGTACTATAGAATACCAAATCAAGAACAGAACGAATTATTATAAGATTATGCGTGTATGTAGAGGGTAAGGGCTCGTTTGGGTGTATAAGACAAGGGTTTGGTTGTGGTTGGGTGCAGCAGTAAGATAAGGGTTTGGTCGTGTTTGGGTGTCACAATAAGAGGAATAGAGTCTTTTCATGTTTACGAGAGTACCATGGTCTTTAAATTATATATCTTGTGTCCTATAATCGCACGTGATATTTTAATAGTGGGATTCAACCAGCCGATCGCCAGACGGTGTCATCGCTAACAAAAATGTATAGTTTATAAATTTTTTGTAATTTTTGTAGTTTAAGGGGTTTATTACTAATTGGTCAATAGTTCAAGAAATTTTTGTATTTTACCAATTTTACCCTTAAAGTTAAAGTTAAGGTAAAGTACAAAAAAATTCTCTAAACTATGTTTAAATTTGCAAATAACTTCCTAAAAATATTTTTTGTACATAAAATCTTTCGAACTATCACATTTACTTGCAAAAAGCCCCATTGCCTTAACTATTTTTAATTAAATGACTATAGTACCCTTTCTTATTGAATTACATTTGATTTATTTTTTTTATTGAAATAAATTATGAAAAAAATTCATATTAATTTGATAAAACATTCTTCATTCAATTTGCATAAGTTTGCCTTTAATTTTTTTAATTAATTATTTAAATAAATATCTTAAGTAAAAAATTTTAAAACAATTTAACTAATTTCTTAATTTTTTATGAATATATTGCATAAAAAAAGAAGATATTTTTTATTTACATAATTTATTAATTTTTCATTAATGTTGTATGAAAAAAAAAATGTATTTTTTTACACTAGATTTTTTAAAAGTGAGTATAATAGGTTAATTATTTTTAGAAAATAGTAGCCATAAATCTATTTATTTTTTTATTTTTATGATATTGATATTGATTATAAAATTAAGATAAATGATATAATTAATATTTAAATAAAAAAAATATAATAAAAAATAATTTAATAAGAAATGACAAATTTAACAAAGGAGGGTACTGTGATGATGAGCATGATTGTTCATACCAGCGTTGATGAAGACTTCCGGGAAAGATGCGAGGAAGCCCCGGGAAGCAGCCGGTGAGATCTCGGCGGTGTAGACGGGCGCAATCAAGATAGCGTAGCCGACACCGAGTCCGGCGACAAAGCGGCCAAACATGAGAAATGCATAGTTTGGGGCGAAACCCATCAATAGTGCGCCGACGAAGAAGATTGCAGCAGCGACGACTATAGTGTACCTGCGCCCGATCCAGTCCGAGGTTCGGCCTGCTGCGGCCGACCCCAGAAGAGAGTAGAGGTTCAGTATACCCACCAGGATTTCCACTTGTGTATCGCTGATCTTCAGGTCCTTCTTGATGTAGATTGTTGCTCCACTCATCACTCCAATATCTGTAATTAATAAATTTTACAACAATGATTAAAATTTTTTTTACTTGTTTAAGATCGAATTTGATAATTATTGAATTAAATTTATGAAAGAGAAGTGACACGCCGTTATTATTCTATATTTTCTATTATATTAAAAAATATAAATATTTTACACAATCTTTTCATTCGGTTTGGTTTTGTCTCCTAGAATTGCAAATTATTAATGAATGGTTTTATGTTTTTGGAACCAAGGTCTAAGCTCAACAATTAAAAAATTCGAAACAAATCAATCGTTTGAAAAACCATACCAAACCAATTGTTCCGGTTGAAGTAAGGGGTTCTCAAAGATGAATACTACTTAAATAGAAAGAACTGTGTAGCTATTATAGTAACTCACCATAGCCCAATAAGATGGAATTCATTGAAGCTAAAATGGCACAAGCAAAAGCAAACTTGTTTCTCTTTGGTTTCGTCGGGGGATCAAAAGCTGGAATAGGTACTTGTGGTCGGTCTGTGAGACCACTGTTCCCAGGTTGCAGGTTGGCCATCTGTCTGTGTGTGTCAGTGTGTGTGTGAGAGAGTGTACCTGTGTTCTGCGTGGTATAGATAGATTATGAAGAACAGACGAAGGGTTGAGTGATCCGAATACTATGTGTTATTACTGTGTGTGTGTGTATATATATATATATATATATGATGGATGGTAAAATGGACATGGCCAGTTCTAGGTGTGCGATACGAATGGACAGAGGCAGGGGCCCAGGGCTATTTGGCCACATGCACAAATCGTGTGGAAGTGGGTTTACCTCTTTTCGTCATGTGAGATGTAAGCACTTGTCGCATACGGAGGCCAGATTTCATTAGTAGCTTTTTGGTTTTTACAACAGATTTCGTTAGTTTGAAAAAAACAAACAAAACAATTAACATAACAAATACTAGATAATTCAAAAGGCAAATAAGAAAAAAAAAACTTTGTTTTTGTCAATATTACACACAGATTATCTCTTCTTTTTATAATTTTATTTACTTCCACATAAAATTTACTTTCACATTTTCAGTGACGGTGGTATAATTTGATAATGATAATATGTTATTTTATTATTTTATCCCTTAAATGTTTGTCGTTATTTTAGTCATTAGAATAACATAATTAACCTTCTACTCATTTTCTGCTACTGACATTAGGATATTGTAATCTGAAATTATACAAATCCTACACATGTAGGATTGAATTATTTTTTTCTTGATTTAGAACTAATTGATAGGTAATTAGTTTCCTGATTATTATATATTTAGTTACATATTTTAGTTAAATAAATAGAGTTTTAATTCTCATATTTTTTCTCTGAATTTTAAGATGGTATCAGAGCAATCGTACTTTGAATCTCTTTGAATTTATTTTTATTTTTATCTTAAATTTATTGAACCATACCCATACACGTACACATACCCATACATTTATTTTTATTTTTATTTTAAATTCATTAAACTATACTCATACATACACATACCCATACATACACATACACATACCCATACATATATCCATACACCGGACCCATCACAAGCCGCCGCCGAACTGCTGTTTGCCTCTGCCAGCGATTTGCCATCACCGGATCTGAATCTGCCGTGAATAGCTGCACTGCTACCTGTCGGCGACTCTACAAACGACGACGACGCTGCCATAACGAACCGCTGCACCTCGCTTGCTGGATCTGCTCTCGCGGCCATCCTAAAACCGCCGGTCGTCTCCATCGCCGGCTACTTTCCAAACTCACTGCCGCGAGCCATCCCCATCGCGCTGTCCACTGGCAGTTAATCAATTGGTCGTGTCCCCAACGAAGTCGAACCAGCCGCTGCACCAGTTTGTCCCTGCCAGATTTATTGTCGGCGGTGGGCTCTTCTCAGATCAGATCCGCCACTACCGTCATTTTCTCCGCGACGCAAGCCATAATCGTTCTCTGCCGCTACCTCGCATCCAGTTTTTTTTTATTTATTTTTTGTCTTTCTTAACAGAGATGCAGCTTTATATATATATATCAAAAAAAAAAAGAGTGAAAAAAATATTGAATCCTCTAAAACGAAATCAGTTCCTATTTTTGTTCAATCTGAAGCTGTTTTTAATGCAGGGATTAGTCTTACTGAATCCAATTATGATGTTTGGTCCCAACTGATGGAGATGCATATTGCTGAAAGGGAGAAACTCTCCTATATTCATGGCAAGACTAAGCCACCTGCTGAATCAGAAGATGGTTATGACAAGTGGTATGCCGAAAATCAGAAAGTGAAGCGGTGGCTATTAATGTCCATGACTCTAGAAATTATGAAGCGTTATTTACGCTTACCCACTGCCCACGAAATCTGGAGTGCTTTATCAAAGGCTTTTTATGATAGGAATGATGAGTTACAAGTTTTCGCCTTGAACCAAAAAGCCTTCAATGCCAAACAAAAGGGAAAATCTCTATCTGAATATTATGGAGAGCTAACTGAGGTTTTCCAAGAAATGGACTATCGAGATAAAGTGGTCATGAGAGATCCAAATGACATTAAAGCATATCGAAAATCTATCGAGCGACTAAGGGTTCATATCTTTCTTGCTGGATTGGATGGTGATTTTGAACAAGTTCATAAAGAAATTCTACGCAACGATCCAGTTCCAGACTTGGAAGGCTGCTACTTTTTGGTTTGACGAGAAGCGGTACGTCGTGCAACTTTGAAAGGGGAATCCAAAAACTTTGAAGTATCAGTCATGATAGCTCGAAATAGGTCTAAGCAAAACTGGCAAGATACTAAACCCAATCAATCTAAAGCCACCAAAGGTGCAAACAAGTCTACCTACAAATGCACCCATTGCAATCAGACTGGTCATACCAAAAGTCGTCGTTTCGAACTTATGGAATATCTGGAATGGTGGGATCATAGTCGTTGGAAGAAGAATTCGATGAAGACCTCCACTGTAGTAGTTGTTAAGACAAATGATGATGGTGCTTACAAGGCATTGGGGTTGGAAGTAACTGGAGATAATGGTGGTAAGGTTTTAAATATTTCTACACCTGTTGTTAATAGTGCATGGATAATTGATTCTGGTACTCCAGATTATATGATATTTGAGTCTAGATAGGTCTCCCTTCTTAATTCCTCCTCACAACAATTTATTTCTATTGCTAATGGTACATCGACCCCATTTATTGGGGAAGGATCTTTGACACTCACTGAATATCTGCATTTAGATTCTGTTTTAATTGTTCCATCTTTATCTTATAATCTTTTGTCAGTTTCCTAAATAACCACAACTTTATCTTGTGTTGTAATTTTTTGGCCTGATTTTTGTGTGTTTAAGGACATCCAAACAAAGTAGACGATTGGTTGTGGTATTAGGCGAGGGAAGCTGTATTATTTAGACTTGTTGTCAAAAAGTTCCGACAAGCTATGACAAGCATCGGCAGTGGATGGTTCTTAAGGGGAGAAAAAAAATCTGAAATCTGGCTGTGGCATCGATGTTTAGGGCATGCTTCCTTTGGTAATCTGAAAAAATCATTTCCTAGTTTATTTAAAAATTTTGATGGTTCTAGTTTACGCTGTGATGTTTGTGAACTAGCAAAGAACCACCGTGCTTCGTTTCCATTATATTTGAATAAAAGTCTACTTCCTTTTATGATTATACATTCTGATGTTTGGAATCCGTCCAAAGTCATTACTTTAGGTGGATCACGTTGGTTTTTTACTTTTATTGATGACTGTACTAGGATGACCTGGTTGTGCTTGATGAAATCTAAAAGTGAAGTGAACTTATTGTTTCAAAAGTTTCATAAAATGGTTGCAACTCACTACAATGCACCTGTTCAGGTTCTTCGTAATGACAATGGTGGAAAATATCAGTGTTTTGACCTTCATCAATATTTGGGAGCACATTGAACTATTCATCAAACCACTTATTCCAATATACCCCAGTAGAATGGGGTTGCAGAGCGAAAAAATCACCACTTGTTAGAAGTTGTTCGTGCTTCCTTGATAGAAGCTCATATGCCGTTATCGTATTGGGGAGAAGCACTTGCCTCTGCAGCATATCTAATTAATCAAATACCTTCCAGCTCTATCGACTTCCAGACACCATTGCAGGCTCTCACTAACGCAATTGTTGCCTTAACCGTCCCAAATCTACCTCCTCATGTCTTTGGTTGTGTAGCATTTGTACACCTCTGTGATACCCCTCGATTCTAGAGCCACGTGTGTAATAACTCGATCATTTTCCTTTATTTCCTTTTTCTCAGATTTTTACAGATAAATTTTTTCCGTTGATTTTTCCTTTCTGAGTACGATTACTCATCATTTAGCGTCGTCTCGAGCCCTCGGAAGTGATTTCCGAGACTCTTTCCCTTGAATTGACAACTTCCTTAAAGGACCGCGTCATTTCCACATTTTTCATTTTTCGACACTATTCAATTTTCGTTCTTTTCCCTATTTTGTCTTTTCCCCGTTTGTCACTTTGTTGGCATAACCTCACTTTTTATGTTTGGAGTTGGTTTTTGAATTCATGTATCTTCATCCTAAGTGGTTTCCACGAAATACGTATCTTTACTTTTGTAGGAAAGTACTCTGGTTACTCTTGGTGTTTATAGGGGCATGGATGCAAAGTTCTTCAGAAACATTTTTATTTCTTGGGGTGTTTTTCATAAATATCTTTTGGAGATATTTTATTTCGGGGGGTTTTTAAGAAAATATCTTTTGGAAGATATTTTCATTCTGGACAGTTTTGCAGTTATCCTTTTTTGTAAGGGTCATTGTGCAATTAACGAAAGTTATTGCAAAATACTTCATTTTGAGCCTGGATCCTCGTAAGGGATTCATTTTCACATTTTGTCAAGTCGTGTACTCTTAGAATTGTCTTGCGGTCGGGAACCCTACAGTTTTCGAGTTTTCGGCCCTAGTTAGCGCCAAACTTGTTTGAAGCATATCTCTCTGCTCGGGACTTAGTTTTTGATGCCGTTTCTTCTGTTGTTCATATTTTCTCATTTTAGTTCTTTTTTGTTCATAGAGTTTTGTCATTTGAGCGCGTCTACTCAAATTCCACTTTTCCGGACCCGGTGGGGCACTTTCGGGGCACTTTTAGGGTTTTATTATAAATAGGGGGTTATAAAATTAAATCAGCTGATTTCCTCTTCTTCTCCCATGTTTCAGACCAGCTATGGCAGCCCAAGGGGCTGCCACCTTCTTTTCTTCTTTTCCACCTTCTTCCCTCGTGTAAAATGTCGTAGTGCCTTAGCGTTTATCGAAGGCCTTGACGACGCGCACTTTTCCCCCTTATTTGAATCCATTTTCGACCACTTTTGAGTTTGGGTTTCTAGTTCAGGTTTGGATTTTCATGGTACCTCAAAGGTTAAAGTTGTTCCTCTCGTTGTCCACGACATAACCTAGGAGTATCGTCGGATTCAAAGCGTTTTCGTTTCGGTAGGGATTTGTGATTTCATCACAAAATGAGGTAGGGGATGTTTTAGGTTTATATAAATGTTGTATTGAATGTATTTCATGCTTATACAACTTGAATGCATGCCTAGGTATTTTATCTAGAATTTAATTTAATTATTTTCTTTGTATAAGATTTAATTCTCATAGTTGTATATAGCTTAGAATTAAATTGTGGCATACTATTAAATTAGGCCTTGATATGTTTAA